TCATCGATCGATTTGGGGGTGGATAAAATTTTTTAAATGCCGATCGAGATTCGAGTTTTGGGGGTTGAAACAGGTGTACAGAGAGAGGGTACGTATATCACGGGATTTGCTTACATTAATATCTAGATAAAAAGGGAATTAAGGTCTATTCAAATTCCTGCACGTTTTCCGATCGTCATTCTGCATATAAAAATCACGCTAAAAATTAAAAAACTCGTATATTAGGACCAGTCCGGACCGGTCGCAAAATAGAGGACCGAGGATCCGCAGAACCGATCCAACCCCTATTGATAAAACCTGTGATAAATGTATTACGGATAATGGCATCACGAAATAAATTAGGTCATAGAACCTTTCATGCATGATGTAATCGTGTGACCTGCTGATTGTTACTAACTCGTGGCATACGCATTTTCTTTGTGAAAAGTTTTTTCGCTGTGCACCAGTTCCACATTCCCTGAATCTACTATTCCCAATGAGACCAGAAATGAGCGGAGGAAACGTTTACAAGGACAGTATAATTACGTTATGGTTGTTCGTCCCTTCTTTTTACCTGCGTTTTCGATATATTAACAATTGACATGTCTACCTCAACATTCTCATCAGCAGAAAAATTTGCTCCGTTATACAACTTTTTAAGAACCAGTTCCCTAGATAAAATCTCCACTTCTAATGTAATTACACAACAATGGAATTGTTTCAAAATTCAAACGGAGCAAGAAGATTTCGACTGCCTCATGAAAATCTTAAAGAGACGGAAAGTGAAATCATTGATAAAGAACGTAAACAGCATCTTAAATCGTTGCAAGATATTAGCCAGGTGATTTATACCACTTTGATGTTTGTATAATAGAGAATAAAATGATGAATATGACGTTTAGACATTAATAAGTGTAATGCGATTGAAAAAGCGACATATTGTCAGCGAGAATCTCTTTCATTATATTTATTATGATTATAAACAACAATGCCGGCTATTTCCGATTAGGATGGGTATTTGCGCAAAAAAAATGATGATGTTTCTCTGAATTTTATTAACCCATTCGTATTTTTATAGATGCGATTTATTAGGAACGAATTGTTATCATTAAAAGATATGGGATTCTTACGAGGAAAATTCGAAGAAGGAATAAATTGGAAAGCTTTAGCCTTAAATAGTATAGCGATTTTGAAAGATAAAATCAAGGTAATCAATTATTTATTACTTGAAATTTTCCATAAAACTAACTCTCCTTTTGATTCATTAGAAGAAAGATACACCACCACATGAACATATTTTTACAAAAATAAGCAATATAGATGTCGATGAATTATCAAACGACGACCCATTATGTATTGGAGTAATCGATCTTAGTTCAGACAAATATAATATTCCCGAGAGTGATTACGAATCTCTTGTTGTACGTATGTTTTTCTTTACGAAGTGAACGTTATTGGTTCTGAGATCGGAGTAACAGATAAGACTTTTGTATGGGTCTTGTATTAGCGGAGTTGGCACGGCTAAAGATAATTGCTTATCATCTGTTAATCTTAATAGGGTGAGAAGGCTAATATAAGAAATTTGAGCAAAGATGTCGTGGTAAAGAATATATGTAACGATTTTATATCAAAGAGGAACGACGTTCAGAAATTGCGGAAATTTGTATTGCCTTCGAGGGACGTAGTGACACACGATCAATGGGTGAGGACGATCACATTAAGGAACGCATAGCACGCGGAATTACCGATGTTCTTTTGCAAGAAATTAAGTTGAATGCACTCCGAAGAATTTCCAGAGGTTCGGAAAATACACTAGTGGAAATTATCGCTCGTTGATAGATATGGCTATGCATCGCTTACCTGTAGATTATGAAGTTGAAGTTACCAGGGCCGAACGTCAAAGTACAGCTAGTAAAAATCGCAAAGCTCAGCAAAAAAGTGGATCAAGAGGAGATAAACCAGATCTCATGTTCCGTGCTCACCTTCGTCAAAAATGGGAAGAAATTGTGTTCTTCGAAAGTGAAAAGTGGGATGCCAATGAAGATAAGATTTGCCACGACCATAATAAATTAGTGCAACTCTGTTTGGACGGATCTAAACAGCTTGTGAAAAATGTTCAAAAGAAACCTTTTACCAAAGTTATATAGGGTTTGGTGTTAATATTGCAGGTAAGTATATTGAGATCCATGGATTGATAAAGGAAAAAGGGATGAAGTACCATCTACATCTTCCAGTTGTTAAAGCGAAAATACCTTTGGGTAAAGAATCGGTTGAGGAAGTAGAAGAGTTTGTTCATGCCCTATTGACTTTGCGAGTGAGTATTCTTTCAACTATGTTATATGAATTTCTGTATATTCGTCGTATTATGTTACTTACACAAAATGATCTATGATCTCAGAATGGAGTTATTGTAAATTTACAGAGTATTGTGAACAGTTTTCAAAAAAATCAAGAAAAACAAGTGATATAAGCCCCCCTCCACGTGAAGTTGATATATTAAACAAGAAAAGGAGCTCAAATTTCTAGAATAGTCCATATTTCTATCTTGTACTTTATTTCTCATATATCAATAAAGCTCGCCCTGGTGGTTGAATTATCATATACAGTGGTGTGCAAAAAAAATGACAATTGTTTAAATCTCTCTGGTTTTAACATGAGCAATCTAATTAAAGTGTAT